CTTCCTTCCTTCCTTCCTTCCTTCCTTCCTTCCTTCCTTCCTTCCTTCCTTCCTTCCTTCCTTTTCTCTCTTCCTTCCTCCTTTTCCTTCCTCCATCCATCCATCACCTCCCTCCCTTGTTTCCTCCCTCCCTCCCTCCCTCCCTCTTTAGACTTATATACCACTTCACAGTGCTTTTACAGCCCTCTCTAAGCAGTTTACAGAGTCAACAAATCGCCAACAGTCTGGGTCCTCATTTTACTGACCTTGGAAGGATGGAAGGCCGGGTCGATCTTGAGCTGGTCAGGATCGAACTCCTGTCAGTGAGCAGTGAGTTAGCCTGCAGTGCTGCATACTCATCACTGCGCCACCATGGCTCTTACAGGAGAAAGAAAGAAAGAAGAGAACGAGGAAAGAAGAGCAAGAGAAAAAGGGAAATAAGAGATGGAGGGAGCAGGAAAGAAAGAAAAAAAATGGAGAAAAAGAAGAAGGAAGGAGAGAGGGAAAGAAAGAGAGGGAAAGAATAGCAAAAGCAGTTTTATATACCGCTTCACAGTGTTTTATAGCCCTCTCTAAGCGGTTTACAAAGTCAGCCTCCCCCCCCCCCCAATCATCTGGCTTACTCTAAGGGCAAAAATGAAAGGAGGAATAGAAAACACAAAACGAGAATAGGAAATTAAGGTAGGAATAGAAATATATTCTGGGTTGTGGAGCTGGAGAGAGGCTTCGGTCATCGGCTTGAAGAGGAGAGGCCAACGTGATTTTATTGAAAATTAATATCATGTTTTATGAATGACTTGTCCTGTTTAGCTCTAAGGAAAACTGGGTTTTCTCTTCTCGCCTTATTCCTTTCGTTTTTCTTTGTGTACAGCCACCTGAAAGGGGACACTTTTTAAGCTTTTAATTTTGGATTCAAGTGCCTAGAGGCCATCGGGTGGTTTGTAAATGAAATCTTGCCTTGCTTCTCCGTTGGTTCGTTCCTCTGCCTGAAAGAAGCTGTCCTTAGGTGACTTTCAAAGGAAGGGTGAGAGATAAAACGGTGGCAAGAGATTTAGTTAATCTGTCTTCCTTCCTGAGATTTGTCAGTGTGGAAGTTTCCCTGGGTATCCTTGCAAATTGAGGTCATTAGTTCTTGGAAACAAAAGAGAGGATTTGGGTGAACATTCCCTTAGCAAGAAGGACAGGTTATAAACAGCTTAAGTTCAGACACTCCTCTCTTAAAATAAATATTGGACTTAGAATAACTTTATTGTCACTTTAATCGGCATGCATTAAAATGAAATTTCATTGCCTGCAGCTTCCAAAGGGTCACCACCTCCAATAGACACTACATCTACATGATGAAACTATAAATAATTTTTTTAAAAAGATCATGAACATACCCACACATACCGTATTATTATACGACACAGAGAAACAACACAGTCTAGTTTGGATGTATAAATGTAAATGGTGAGAAAAACAAAAACAAATTACAGCTCATTTGTCATGTAAAAGCTTAAATCTTGATGAGCAGTCTTCCAATATTTGAGGAGGGGCTGCCACAGAGAGGAGGAGGAAGGGGGTCAAGCTATTTTCCAAGGCACCCGAAGGCCAGACAAGGAATAATGGATGGAAACGGAACAAGGAGAGATTCGAACTGACAGTGAGAAGAACCAACCAGTGGAACAGATCTGCCCATCTCTTTTTAATGTTCTTCTGTTCTGGTCTCCATCCTGGCAGGAACTCTGTTGAATTCTACTGTATAGTGCAATATTAATGCAATATCAGGGTTTTTTAGTTCAATGTACAGAATGTGAAGGGTGTGTGTATTTTCATAACGTAAACTGAAGATGGTGTTTGATTTTGTTGTATGAAGTGCAGTGACGATAAAGTAAAGTAAACTAAAGCTAAATTAAACCAAACTGCAAGTTCCAAATCGGGGCCAACAAGGCAAGGATTTCAGAAAGGAGGCAGGATGTCGGTGATCTGATCAAATTTAAAATGGAAGTAGGAACGTATGCCTGTTAAGACAGTTCAAAACTACTTGGCAACGGCTTAGCTTGGAGAGATTAAGGGAGGGAGGGAGGTGGATTGGAATTGTGATAGGCAAACCAACCTTTCTTCAAAGCAGTTTTATTTATTCATTTGTATCTCATCCCCAAAGTGCTTTTTCGGGAGGCAAGTGGACCTTCTGGTTTTTCTTTGAAGATGTTTCGCTTCTCATTCAAGAAGCTTCCTCAGCTCTGACTGGGTGGTGGGGAATGGAAGGATTTACACTCCTTGCAGACAAAACTGGTCATTTGCATCCTCTTAACGAGTCGTTGAGGCCACTTGGAGATCTATTTGTGTCCTCAGGGTCACTTGAATGGTGCCAATGGTGGAGTGGAGCCTTCTTGGAACTACTGAACGGACTTTGCTGTTAACTGGAGACAGATGATGTCATCAGCGGTTCTAAGAAGGCTCCACACCCGTCTGCACTCTTCAAGTGTTTCCGAGGACACAGATGAGCCTCCAGGTGGCCTCAACGACCCTCTCAAAGAATGCAAATGACCAGCTTTAAAATCCTTCCATTCCCTGCCATCCAGTCGGAGCTGAAGAAACTTCTTGGATGAGAAGCGCAACATCTTGAAAGAAAAAACAAGAAAGTCCACTTTCCTCCTGGAAGGAAAAAAAAAAAAGAACCTTTGGGACAACCAGGACCTGGGATGGTGGAGAATCGTTGCTGACCATTGGAGCTGAGATGTTTCTCCGTGGAAAACCCGTCTTGAGCCATAGGCCTTGGGCAGTGGGTGCCACTGAGTGCACGTATCCTGTCCCTGTTGGAATCTGGTTCAGAGGGGTAGGCCAAACAGCTGACGGAGTGGGAGTGTGGCTCCGTTGGCTGTGGAAGAAACTGGGGAAGGACAAAGTCTGGTTGGGCAGAGCAGGGGGAGGTAGAACAAGGGAGAGGGAGTTCAGAGGAAGACCCAGGCCCACCCCCTCTTCATCCCAGAGCACACAGGGAGGAACGGAGAAGGGAGCAACGTGAGTTGCATGGCTTACGGGGGAGGAAAGGGCCCTGATTCCCTTCATTAGCTGCAGCTGGGAACACAGCGTTTAAAAAGGGAAGCTGCGCACAGCAAGTTGTTGGGAGCACATCGTGAATTGTCTGGTATTGTCGAGGCTTTTCTGTGTTCCTGGCGCCTTCCCCGCTGTGTGAGTTTTGCCGCATTTTCAAGCCTGCAATTCCTTCTCCTGCCTTGTCAAGCTAATCACTTCACCGTGATTTGTGTGGATTTTTAGTTACAGCCTGTCTGTATCTTGTTTTGGACTGAATTTCCTCCACTTAAAGGCTGTTCCTGGGAGAGTTTTTTTCTCTCCAGCCTGAAGGTAACCTGGACATTGGGGGCAAAGTTGGAGGTATTAAAGGGATCTTTATTGATTATCTGACTGTGTTGCCTTTGTGCTATGCTACGCCCCTTTGGGTCACTGCAGCCCGGGCCAGGCCCGCCTTCATGCTTCAAGGTGTAATTGTGACCTTTTCTTTAGTCTAGATGTTCTTCCTCGGGCCATCGGAAAGGTTTTATATCCGGCTTCGTAGAGAACATCAAGCAGGAGCTAGCCAAAAACAAGGAGATGACGGAGAGCATCAAGAAATTCCGAGACGAAGCGAAGAAACTGGAGGAGTCGGACGCCCTCCAGGAAGCAAGGCGGAAATACGTACGTTGGCTCCCCCCCCCTCCCCCCTCCCGACATCGAAGGGCGCTTGGTGGCTTTGGGCCACCAGGGGAACGTTTATGGGACAGGTAGTCCTCGACTTAACGGCCACGGCGGGGTCCAGAATGTCCTTCCCTAAGCGAGGTGGACGAGGAGTGAGCCCTCCTTCCAATCAAAAGTCTCTGGCCGCATCTCAGGGACAAGTAAATTGGTTTATTAGAAGTTGCCGTGTTGGCGCGTGGCTGGGTGCAGCTGATACTCAGTCACATCATCCATTTCCCCCTTGACCCTGGTCTTTCCTCCACCACCCCCCGGATGTGACTTCTCCAATGGGACCCATCCGTCTCCCAAGAGTCATCCATCATGCTCTCCAATAACCGCCTTTTTTTTTTTGTTTGAAAACAATTTTATTAATTTTAACAACAAACAAAAACACATAAAAACATCTTCCTTTCCTTCCTGAGTTTACAGACAGCGTGTCGGTTGGTTTACTACTATTTTTTGTGTGCATCCATTTCATAGTCTCCATTGTAGTTATATTACATAATAGCTCGTATTATCAATCAACAATTATGTAGCCTGATATCATTATTAAACAATCATTTGACTGTAATTTTATTAATTCATACTTTAACGAGATAACTATAATTTATTTATTTTATAGCAAATCATAAAGTCATACCAAGTCTATCTTAATAAAATTTTATAAAGATAGTATCAAAGATACTATCCAATAACCGTCTTATGCGCCAACATCTTTAGGCTGCTGAGTTGATATCTAGGCATTTAAGGAAGGCCTTGTTTACCTCCAACTCCATTTTTCTGGCAGCTAAAAAGACCAAAGGAGTCTCTTTTTTAGTTGACAATGACCTTTTCTCGCCACGGCGGTTGAGCGAATCCCAGTCGTTAAGTGAGTGCGTCTCCCGCCGTTGAGTTTGCTAGCTGGGGAAGGGCGCAGAAGGCGGCCACGGGACGCCAGCCTACCGCAACCGTCGTAAGTCCATGCCATTTGCCCAGCTCCTGGATTTCGATCCTGGGAGATGCTGCGACGGTCATAAGCGCGAGGACCAGTAGTCAATCTTTTTTTTTTTTTTCAGCGTCGTAATTTTGAGTGTTTGCTAAACAAAACGGCTGTAAGCCGAGGGCTACATTGGGCAGGCAGTCCCTTGACTCACGACAGTTCATTTAGTGACGCGGCAGTGACAGAAACTTGACTCAGGACCGTTTTTCGTGCCTTTTTGTCCGTGTCAGCATCCTCCACGGTCACGTGATCAAAAGGCAGGCGCTGGGCCACTGACTCATATTTACGACGGGCTGCTCCCGGGATCACGCAATCCCCTTTTGAGACCTTCTGACAGATTCACTTAACAACCGTGTGATCAACTTGACACCTGCAGTGGTTCATTTAAAACAGGGCAAAACCCACGTAATGAATGCCCCGCTTGGCAACGGATAGTTTGGCCTCAAGTGCAGTCGTAAGTTGAGAACTACCTGTATCCTAAGGGACGGCGAAAGGCCGCAGGTGCGTAAATAACATTGCACCTTCTTCCTGCTTCAAAAAGAGTTGAGGATGTAGGCATGCCCTCGGCGGGGAACTAAAAAATATGTGTGACCTCTTTGATGATGAAGATGATGAGAATAAGAATAAGGATGATGTGTGTTCAAATCCCAGAAGGTAAAGCTAATTCTCACAGTGGAGATTTGAGGAGTCCTTGGGGGGTCTCTGAGCTGGGCGGTTTTCTTGCAGATTTCTCATGACCCAAAGTAGGTAACATCCGTGCAAGAAGAGGGTGGGGTTTGCAGGGAGGAGGGGGAGGAAGAAGAAGAAGAGGAGGAGGGAGCTCCCACAGTCCTCCCTCCCTCCCTCTCCTCCTCCTCCTCCTCTTGCAAACCCCGCTCCCTTCCGGCACTGACTGTCAGCTTTGGAAGCCATATTTTGCTTGGAAGCTTCAAGGCTGCCGCATTCAGCGCCTGGGAATTTGAGTGTGGGGCTTTCTTATTGCAAGGGTCTTCAAACTTGGGACAAGTTTAAGACTTGTGGACTTCAACTCCCAGAATTCCTGAGCTAACATGACGGGAGGAGGAATTCTGGGAGGTGGAAGTCCACAAGTCTTAAAGCTGTCCAGTTTGGAGACCCCAGTCTTAAGCGAGTAGAAGATTAGACTCAACAACATTCTTTCCTAAAAGTCAAGGACAAGCTGCCCTGCAGCTGGAGAGGAGTATCTGGAGGAACGGCTTCCGTTGGGACGATGATTTGATTGGGCCGTGTGATGGACTGGTGGGTGCCGTGGATGGATCTTTGAATTTTTTTGGGGGGAAGGGAAAACCCAGAACTCTCAGATTCAGGTTTTCCCAGATGTGAAAATATGACTTTTCTAATAAAGTTCTTACTTGGATGGACTTTTGTTTCTGAGTGCTGAATGGAAATGGGAAATTTCATGGGAACGCCAACACTGATGATGTTCCCTAGTTGGGTCACGAGACGTCTTTAAGAAAACCACCCAGCTCAGAGAACACCATGACCCTCCACAGTCCCCCTCCCCCTCCTCTCTCTTCTTCCTCCTCCCTGTAAACCCCACTCTTCCTCCTCCTCCCCTCCCCTTCATCTTCCTCCTCCTCCTTCCCCCCTTCCTCCTGCTCTCTGCAAATCACACTCCCTTCTAGCACTGATGATGTTCCCTAGTTGGGTCACGAGACGTCTTTAAGAAAACAGCCAAGCTCAGAAAGCACCAAGGACTCCCACAATCTTCCCTTCCTCCCTCCCTCTTCCTCCTCCTCCCAGAAAACCCCACTCCCTTCTAGCACTGATGGAGTCCCCTAGTTGGGTCACGAGACGTCTGCGAGAAAACCACCCAGCTCAGAGAGCCCCAAGGACCCTCATGCCATCCCTGACCTACAAACATTCTCCCTTGATTAGGAGGATGTTTCTTCCAGAGATTTCACCCTGCAGATTATTTTAAAGCTCTCTCGTGTCTTGCGGGAGGCTGAAGGTCTCCCCTTCCATGACAAACTAACCCATCCGCCCAAAACTGCTTAGAGCAGCCTGAGAGATCGGGGCCGATCCTACTGGGGGAAATAAACTTGGCTCCAATTTGCTCCTGAAATTCTGAGACCGTAGCTGTTGTGTGGGTGGGGTTGGGGGTCATCAAGAGATGGCGGTCCATTCAGAAGAACCTAACAAACAGAGTTGTCGTTGGGTGAGAAGAGAATTAGCTTTCTCCCTGGGCGACACCAACTTTTCTGCTTCCTTCTCGCAGAAAACCATCGAATCCGAAACCGTCAAGACCTCGGAAGTGCTTAAAAAGAAATTAGGAGAAATCAGTGGCACCGTCAAAGAGGTAAGAACCACCGAGTGGTGTCCTTTTCGCCCTGGACTCTCTTACTCCGGCGGCTAGGAATGTTCTCCGGAGCCAGCACAGCACTGGTGTATTCCACCTTGGCCGTACCGGCAGTTCTCTGGAGGGCCCAAAGACTGAAGGAGTCCATGCTGATTCTTCTAAGAGGCAGCCTCCTTCCTTTTACGATTTAAATGTTTTTTTTATTAGAATATAAAAGAAAACAAAAATAACGGGAAGCTAGAAGAGGAAAAAACGGAATACTGCATCCAGTTTCGGTCACCAGACTATAAAAAAGATTCAGAGACTCTAGAAAAAGGGCAGAGAAGAGCAACCAGGATGATGAGGGGACCGGAGGCTCAAACATACGATGAATGGTTGCAGGAACTGGGCCTGGCTGGTCTAGGGAAGAGAAGGGCCAGGGGAGACAGGAGAGCAGCCTTCCCAATATTGGAGGGGCTGCCACAGAGAGGAGGAGGAGGAGGAGGGGGTCAAGCTATTTTCCAAAGCTCCCAGAATAATGGTGGGAAACTGAACAAGAAGAGATTCAACCTGGAAATAAGGAGACATTTTCTGACAAGGAGAACCATCAACCTATAAAAAAGACCTTGAGACTCTAGGAAAAAAAAAAGTGCAAAGAAGAGCAACCAGGATGATGAAGGGACTGGAGGCTAAAACATACAATGAACGGTTGCAGGAACTGGGCCTGGCTAGTCTAGTTTAGTTTAGTTTATTGTCATTGCATTTACAACGAAATTAAATGCCATCTTCAGTCTACATTATACATAAAAAAGCAAAAACACACATCCTTCGCATTCTATACAATTGAAAACCCCTGATATTGCATTAATATTGCACTATACAGTTGAATTCAATAGAGTTACTGCTCTGGGATAGAAGCTGTTTTTCAGCCGATTTGTCCTTTTTAGTCTAGTGAAAAGAAGGACCAGGGGGGACACGATAGCAGCCTTCCGATATCTCAGGGGCTGCCCCAAAGGAGAGGCGGTCAAGCTATTCTCCCAAACATCTGAAGGCAGGACAAGAAGCAACGGATGGGAACTCATCCAGGAGAGAAGCAACCTGGAATTAAGGAGGAATTTGCTGACCGCGAGGACAATGAACCGTTTTTGGGGTTTTTTTGCCACCAGAAGTTGTGGGTGCTTCATCACTGGAAGTTTTTTTTAGAAAAGACCTAGGCAGACATTTGTCTGAAATGATAGAGGGTTCCCCGCTTGAGCAGGGGTTGGACTAGAAGATCTCCAAGGTTCCTTCCAACTCTGTTCTTCTGTTCTTCCTTCCCGCCCCCCCACCCCACCCCCTCTGGTGGTAGAGCATAGATGAAGTCAGCAAGAGCGAGATTGGCCGGAAGATCAAGGAAGGAATGGAAGAAGCAGCCAAAACAGCGAAGCAGTCTGCGGAAACAGTCTCCAAGGGAGGAGAAAAACTGGGCCGGACTGCAGCATTCAAGGCCATTTCTCAGGTAAACTCCCTTCTTCAGTCAGGTGCAGGGGTGCGCCGCAACGGGTTTGCCCGGGTTCTAGAGGACCCATTCCTAACATTATGGCTGGTTCGGCAAACCGCCAAATCCCACCCCCTGGGTCATGCCTTTTGGTGGAGACTGACTCTGAGGGAGGGGAGGAACGGCCGACGGAATGGAAGTGTGGCTCCGGAGGTTGTGGAGGAGGCTGGGGAAGGGCAGAGCCTGGCTGGGCAGTCAGAGGAGGACCCAGGCCCATCCCCTCTCCATCCTAGGGCAGGAAGGGAGGAGTAGATAAGGGAGAAATGTGAATGGGGTGGTCTAGGGGGAGGTAAGGGCCCTGATCCCCTTCATGGGCTGCAGCTGTGACAACTGAATAAGAGGATGGACATGCGTAGTGGCAAACGCTGGAAACAAAGCATGGAAATATCTCTAGTTTATGGTTCCTCTCTGGGTTTGGCGTCCTTCCCAGTGTGTGTTATCTGTGGACGTCCTCCAGCCCTTATCTTGCCTGGTTTGTGTTGCTTTTTTCCTCCTTCTTGTAACTGTTTGTGTGGGAGTTTTTTGTCTTCAGTCAAGGATATTTGGAGCTTGGAAGCAAAGTGAAGGAATAAGAGGGGCTTCACCTCTTTTCTGTGACTGTATTTGTTTTGTATCCCATCCTGGGTCAGTCATCACACCCTGGCTCGGGAGCCCGTTTTCGCTGGCAGATGCTCGGGCTGCCACAGGCGCACCCGACATGAGTGATGTTGAGCTGACCACTCCCGCCCCTGCCTCCACCGCCCTGCCCCCCTCCCCTTGAGGTCAAACACAACCCTAATGTGGCCTTGCATGAAATCGAGTTGGACACCCCTGGTATAGGCCGTGCTCAGATTTTTTAATATTTTTTTTTAACAGTACAGGTAATCCCTGGGTTACGAGTGTTCCCTTAGAGAACGGTCAAAGTTACGTGATCAGCGCCCCTTCGTGTTTCTGAACAAGTCCCGAAATTATGAATCTTGCAGCACCACGGCAATTGTTCGCCCTTACCAATGACCGCAGAGGCTCTTCAACGTTTGTCCTGCTCTTTGCTGGCCAAAACGGAGCTTCGGAGGGGCGTGCACAGCTGAGAGGCTAGAGAGGAGACCACTTGCTAGATCTCCTGACAGAAAGTGACCTGGCACGGCAGCTTGGGTGTGTGGTGGGGGGGAAGCAATTGTGCTGGAGCGTGAGGTATTTCTGTGAGTCGGGGAGGCCTTGGGTGGTTTTAGGCAGGTGACATGTTCCTTCACCAGGGCCCCGCCATGGACTTCCCTATCCTGAAATGTCTCATATTCACTTAACAAACCGCTCGTTCGATTAGCAAATGCGTGGGTGAAAGGAAGGAGTGATGGCGTTCAATGTACGAGATTCACTCCCACCAATTCCTCGGCTTATGAATGGAACGGGGCAGCTTTATTATCTTCATAACTCAAGGGCTACTTGAATGGTCTTTGCCTCTTCTGTCAATCAATCCAGGGACTTCCTCTGCCTTTGCTGCAAGGTTGGAAAACCGACAGCTAAGCAGGGAGGATGAGTCAAGGGGGGAAGTAGCCTCGAGTCCTTATACAGCCGCAAGAGGCATAATCCCAACCTTCTTTCCCTTCCATTGAGCTTTACCTGGGTGGTTCCCAAGGGAAGAAGGTGAGCAGTCTTTGGAGGGGTGTGGAATAAACAACTTAAATTGTCTTCTACCTATATTACAAAGTCAAGTCAAAGTCAAAAATCAAGTTGTTGATTTTTCCTAAGTTGAGACATTGAAAAAAAAAGTGCAGAGAAGAGCAACGAAGGTGATTAAGGGCCCGAAGACTCAAAACATATGAAAAATGGCTGCAGGATTTGGGTCTGGCTAATCTAGAAGGACTAGAAGGGACACGATAGCGGTATGTCAGTATTTGAGGGGCTGCCATAAAGAAGAGATCAACTTATTTTCCAAAGCAGCAGAAAACAGGACAAGAAACAACGGATAGAAACTAATCCAGGAGAGAAGCAACCTGGAACTAAGGAGAAACTTTCTGACAGGGAGGACAGTTAACCAGTGGAACTGCTTGCCACCAGAAGTTCAGAGTGTTCCATCACTGGAGGTTTTTAAGACGAGACTGGACAGCCACCTGTCTGAAAAGGTGTAGAGTCTCCTGCCTGAGCGGGGGGGGGGGGGTGGACTAGAAGACCTCCAAGGTCCCTTTCAGCTCTATTTTGATTGATTGATTTGGACCTTCCGTGAGTGGATCCGGTTCCTTGCGGCTGACGTATGACATGGCTTCCCTCCCCAGGGTATGGAGAGCGTCCGGAAGGAGATTGACGAGAGCGTGTTGGGTCAGACGGGCCCTTACAGGCGTCCGGAGAGACTCCGGAAAAGGACGGAATCTGCCAGCGAGAGGCTGAAAGACGAGCGGATATTCGAAGCGAACGAGTGGGTGTCAGAACTGGGATCAGAACTGGAACCAGAGCTGGGTGATGTTGGGGGTGGGGGGGGGGAACAAGAAAGAAACCTCAGCCAGGAGAGGCCTGGCATCTTCCAACGGAACTGGAAAAGCACATCCGCCTCGCTCTTCCTGAGGCCGTGCGGGCAGTTGGCGGCGAGGGTTTTCGGCTGCGAGCCGGGAAAAAAAAAAAAACTCTCTTTCCCAACGACTGGAGAATCGGGGACAGGCAGAGGGACGTTCCAGCCTCCTTCCCTGAACCTCCCTCTCTCGCCCCCCTCTAGGCAAGCGATGGGCATGGTCCTCCACAAAGACTCCAAGTGGTACCAGCAGTGGAAGGAATTCAAGGACAACAACGTGGTTTTCAACCGTACGTATTGCGGGAACGCGGTGGGTCACGTGGTTAGGGTACGGGCTCAGCACGGGTCGGCTCGAGACCTGGTTGCATGCTACAGGACGGGGCGAGCGCCCGCCACTCGTTCCAGCTCCTGCCGACTCTGAACAGTTTGAAAGCGGGCAACTACGCGTCGATAGGTTGGTATGTTGTGGCCCGCCGGAGGAGCTGACGGAGCTGGCATCGGAGTCGGACAATCGTGAGGAGGTTGGGGAGCCACCTGGACCAGCCTTGGAGGCTGAGGAAGAGGATGAGGGCTCTGCATCAGAGCAGAGATGGGGCCAGGGATCAAGAGGATACCGAATAATTATTTAGCATGGGATTGGTTTTACAAATGGTTAGACAGTAGAGGTAGAAATGAGAAATTGGAAGAATATTATTACATACAAGTAAACATTATTATTGGCTGTATGTATGTATGTATGTATGGCATTCAGCTTTGTTCGGGTATTTCCCCACGTCATTGTAGTGCTTTTAAAGTTGTAGCAACGTTTCGGCAGAATCTCATCTGCCATCATCAGGCTTCTGTATTGTCTTCGTCTGTGCACATACATGCATACATGTAAGTACCCGCGAAAACTTAAGAAAATATATATATACACACACACATACACATATTTACATATATATATATATATATATATATATATATATACAGGTATATGTGTCTGTATGTATGTATGTGTGTATATATATATGTGTGTGTGTATATATATATATGATGATGGCAGATGAGATTCTGCCGAAACATTGCTACAACTTTAAAAGCACAACTACAATGACGTGGGAAAATACCCGAACAAAGCTGAATGCCATACATGTAAGTACCTGCGAAAACTTAAGAAAACATATGTATGTATATGTATGTATGTATGTATGTATGTAAATGAACCAAGACATTACACTGTTTATTGAGCACAGATGTATATTAAATATGTATAACTAAAACTTACTTAAAAAAGAATCCTTAGTGCTATTTGAATTTATTTTTCAGCCCCTAGAGAACAAGTTTCTTTTTTTAAAAAAAGTGACCTCCTCCTGGTTTCCCAGGGCAGGGGGGCCCATATTCCTTCTTCCAGGGGTACCTTTCCATTTCCTTAGGTTTCTTTGAAATGAAGATGAAATACGACGAGAGTGACAATGCCCTCATCCGTGCCTCACGCGTCATGACGGACAAAGTGACCGACTTCATAGGTCTGTCTTCCTTCCCCCCCCTCCTCTTCTGGTGAGCAAGGGGCATTTCTGGCTGGCCATTTGCAGGACCTTATAGGCAGTGGTGGGTTGCAACCGGTTTAACAACCGGTTCTGTGAGCGTGCGTGAGCGCAGAGTTTTCAAAAAACACCAATTTGAACCTCTACAGCAGGGGTCCCCAACCACCGGGCCTCGGACCAGTACCGGTCCGTGGAACATTTCCTACCGGGCCGCCGGTTTGCTGGGCGCCGCCATCTTGTTTGACGAGAAAGTGCTTCCGGGTGAGCTTTTCCGGTTGGAAAGCGGCGTTTGGGTCCTGAAGGAATCCTCGCGCCTTAGTTTCATCGAAGGGGGGGGGCGGCTTCGAACGAAACTAAGGCGCGAGGATTCTTTCAGCACCCAAGGCAAGGCGAGCCGAACGACCATCCCGAAGCGGTCCCGAAGCGAAGCCCATCGACAAAGGAGGAGTTGAAGGTGGGAAGAAGCGGGGGACGGCTGGCTGGCTGGTCGCTCGGCTCACCTTGCCTTGTCATGCATGCTGATGCTGGTACCGGGCCGCAGATCATTTTGTGATGCTGGTACCGGGCCGTGGCACAAAAAAGGTTGGAGGCCACTGCTCAACAGGGTAAGTAGAACAGCTGAGGTGCGTGAAATCTGTGCCGGGCGAATCAGCTGAGCTGAAAAAGAGAGAAATATAGGACAGGATAGGGTGATGGGTGAGCTGATCATTGGAACTACCGGTTCGCTTGAACCGGTCGGAACCAGGCACAGCTCACCATTGCTTATAGGGCAGTGATGGCGAAGCTTTTTGTTGTGGTGTGCCGAAAGCGCACGCAAGCGCGATAGCAAGGGCGCGCACGTGCCAGCACCCACAATGCAATGCAGGCCCCCCCCCATGCATGCACGCACAATCTCCTTACTTGCCCTGCATATGCGCGTGCCACCAACTGATTTTCGGCCCTTCTGAGACCTTTTTCACCCTCCCGGAGGCTCGAAGGAAGCCTCTGCAGCCTCGGGAGGCTGAAAAACGGGCCTGTTTCGGCACTTCCGGTATTTCCAGAAGGCCCCGTTTTTCAGTCTCCCGGGGCTGCAGAGGCTTCCCTTGAGCTTCCGGGAAGGCAAAAAAACAGCCTCAAACGGGGCCGAAAATCAGCTGGGAGGTTCGTGCGTGCGCAGTGCAGTGCTGGGGCTCGCATGCCCGCACAAACGGCTACCCGTGTCATAGGTTCACCATCATGTCAAAGGGCGAAAAAAGTGTTTCCCTGTAAAAAAAAAAAAAAAAGACAGTTCATTTAGTGACCAAAATTATAACAGCATTGAAACCACTGACTTCTGTCAATCGTTGTTCATACTGAACGACTATTGCAGGATCCCTACAGTCGTAGGATCCAAATTCGGACGCTTGTCAACTGGCTCACACTTGCGACGGTTGCGATGTCCCAGGGTCAAAGCTACCGTCCACCCGACCTCTCCGGCAAGGGGGCATTTAATTCCACAAAAGGTCTCAACACCCAAGATCAAGAGCCTGGCCTTTTGGGGCTCCTAGATTGGTTGACTCCGGCCCAGAGCGAAGAGCAATTGTTCTCCACCGTGGCCCCTTTAAGATCTGCGGGGCTTCCCAACTCCCAGAATCCTCCAGCCAGCTCTATCTAGAATCCTGGGAGTTGAAGTCCCACAGGTCTTAAAGGGGCCACAGTTGAGAAACACGGGCGAAGACAAGACCTGGGGGCTTGTGAAGGGCAGGGATCCATCTCTTCCCCTCTCCCTCCCTCCCTCCGCCAGGCGGGCTGTTCTCCAAGACCGAGATGTCCGAGGTCCTTACCGAGATCCTGCGCGTTGACCCCAACTTCGACAAGGACCAATTCCTCAAGCAGTGTCAGGCCGACATCATCCCCAACGTCCTCGAGGTAAGTTGGGTGGGGAAGAGGCGGAGGGGTGAGGGTCCCCAGCCTGCCACCCCCCGCCTCTTAAGAAGCCCAGGCTTCACAGGGGTAAAGGGTTCCCCATTCACGTACATGCTAGTTGTTTCCGGCTCGAGGGGGTGGTGCTCATCTCCATCTCCATTTCTTTTTTATTTTATTTTATTTTATTTTATAAATATTTTTTTTATTTTAACAACAAAACAACATAGACATACTACATAAAACATAAAAAATATCCTCCTTCTTCATAAATTTACAAACAGTGCATCGATTGGTTTACCACTTTTTTTGTGTGCATCCATTTCTTAGTCACTAATATATTACAGAATAGCTCATATTATCAATCAATAATTGTATAACCTAATATCATCACTAAAAAAAATCATTTATCTATAATTTTGTTAATTCATATTTTAACGAGGTAACTATAGTTTACTTAGTTTATTTTGCAATAAATCATAAGATCATACCAAATCTATCTTGATAATGTTTTATAAAGATAATATCAAGAAAAAAAAAGGAAAACAATTTTTTATGCTAAATCTGAATATTATTATGTTTTATTATCTAACCATTGATAAAAAAGATCCCAAACTTCATAAAATTGTTTATCTTCTTGTTCTCTGGATTTCAAATGTCAATTTACTCATTTCAGCACAATCCAATATTTTCTTAATAATTTCTTCCTCTGATGGAATTTTCTCACTCTTCCAGTTTTTAGCAAATACAATCCTAGCTGCTGTTAATATATTTACAATCAAATACTTCAAATTTTTATTATATATATCAGGTAAGATTCCCAATAAAAAAAATCTCTGGTTTCAAGTCTATATGTGTCTCTGGTGCTCATCTCCATTTCTAAGCCAAAGAGCCAGCGCTCCGTGGTCCTGTGGCCGGCAAGGCTAAACCCCTTTGAAGGCGCACGGAGGAACGCTGTTCCCTTCTTCCCACCAAAGGAGTCCCTAGTTTCCTACTTGCATTTTTTTTAACGTGTTTTCGAACTGCTGGGTTGGCAGAAGCCGGGACAAGTCACGGGAGCTCACTCCGTGACTGTTAGGGATACACCCTAGCAGAATCTGCACGGCAGGCAGGCAGGCAGGCAAAAATATGTGAGATAAACGTTTTTGTAGCTTACACTCAGTAAAACAGATACACTGTGCTAGTTAAATAGTTTATTCCAGTAAGAGTTTTAGCATAGTCAAACAGTCCATATATCATTCACTAATTCAGTCCGTCCGGGGATTATTCAGTTGCAAAGTCCAGTGTCGAAAAAGAGAGGTCAGTAAACTTACAAATATCAGTCCAGTAATATATCTCCTTGCAGTAGAGATATGAAGAAGTCAAACCTCCTTTCTTCCTTCAGCAGCAGGGAACATGCAGTTAGCAAACCATCAATCCAGCAATCGTCAGCAATCCAGCAGGTTCTCTTGCTCCCTCTTATGGCGGTTTTACACCGCACCCAAAATTACATGCTTTGCAATTTAAAGTGACACACACTTAAACTTGCTATCATGGTTTATATATATTATTTTACCCAAACTACGTTAGGTAACCTTGTTATTCCTAACAGTGACGCAGCTATACTAGGGATTCGAACCACCGAACTGCCAACCTTGCTGATCGACAGCCTCAGCGTCTTAGTCCCTGAGCCACCGTGTCCCCCTTTACGGGGGTAGCGGAAGATAAACAGGTGAGGCAGGATCCCTTGGCCAGCTCTTTGGGCCTTGTGGTTCCCTGTCTTTCAAAGCCTGGGCTTTCCTGCAGGAGCAGAAATGCAAGAGTCCTCAACTTTCGACGGTTCATTTAGTGACCGTTCGAAGTTCCAAGGGCCCCTGGGTAAAAGAAGCGACTTGGACCTTTTTCACACTTACGATCTTTCCAGCGTCCCTGTGGTTACGGGATTCAAATTCAGATGCTTGGCTAGTGATTCGTACTTAAGACGGTTGCAGCGTCCTGGGCGGCTGTCACACAGTCCCTGTTTGTAACCTCCTGACAAGGAAAAACCAATGTGGGGAGCGGGGCTAATCCAGATTCACATAACAACCTCGTTCTTAACTGAACGATGGCAGCGGTTCACTCAACGCCTGCCTCAGGGACGGTTGCAAAATGGAGCAAAACCCGCTGAACAATTGTGGCTGTAAGCGAGGATTACCTTGTAAGATCGCGGCGAAGAACACCGATCCTTGCAGCCGACAAGGTGTGAGACTGGCAGCCTCACCTGTCGAAACCGCTGGACCTCCAGCGGTGCCGACCACAGCAGTCATAAGCCAGAGGACCAGTCGCAAGTCTCATCCTTCAGTGCCACGGTAACTCTGAACGGTTGTTAAAATGAATAGTCGTAAAATACCGGTAGAATGGAAGGGTGTTTGAGCTAAGATTCACTTAATAATACGTGGCAAAACTGTCAAGAGTACATTCATTAACTGGCAGGGACATGGTTAACAAAGGAAGCATCGCAAAAGACCAGCCAATGGGAGCGGAGAACCTGGGTGTGGTTTGGCTTTCTGTGCTTTGGTGAGAATTGAAAGTGAAACTAGACTTGCTTGCTTGCTGAAACTAATGTCTGCTCTGAGCGGCTGGTGCTGCTTCTGTTTTTTCTTCTATTACACTGGAAGAATCTACAAATGGTATTGTAAACTTTACCTCATCTTATGTTTATCAAGAAGTGAATGATCCTGCTGAATCAGTCATCTGTGTGTTTCCTGGACTTGAATTTCTGCTGCAAACTCGTAACAAAAACTCACCTCACAACCACAGAAATTTGGGGCTCAATTGTGGTCATGGGTTGAGGACTACCTGTACAGCAAATTGCCCTTTGATTGCCCCTTTTGATGCCAGGATGACAGAAACCCCCCCCTCCTTCCTTCCCCGCCAGGATGTCCTGCAGCCTCTCCGTTTTATTCCCACTTCAAATGCAACAGGAGCAGCCGGCGTTAAATCCCGCTATCCAGCGTCTTCAGATGAAACAAACTTAAGTTTCACCCTCTCCCGCGCCGGCTTTGTCCTTCCCTCTTGCCCAGGGCACCCTCCCCACCCCGATGTCAGGATTCCGGGGATTGTCCTAATTAAATCACGAGCCTCGTTAACCGGAATGAACCCCACTCCGACACATGTAATTTACAGTCCCCTGTGACTCTCTTTCCCCCCTCTCCCCCTCCTGCGTGTGTCATCAATCAGATTCTCCAATGAGGGTTTTTCGCAGGCAGAAGGTCTGGTAGCCTAGGCTACAATCCTTTGAAGACAAGTGTGGAATGTACTTCGGGTTTTTTGAAAACAATTTTATTAATTTTAAAAGACAAAACATAAAAATATCCAGCTTTCTTTCATAGATATACAAACAGTGTGTCGGTTGGTTTACCAGTTTTTGTGCATTCATTTCGTAGTCTCCATTACAGTTACATTACACAATAACTCATATTATCAATCAGAAATTATATACCCTAGTATCACTATTAAATAATCATTTGACTGTGATTTTATTCATTCATACTTTGCGAGATAGCTACAATTCACTTAATTTATTTTATAACAAATCACATACTCATACCAAATCTACCCTGAAAACTTTTTATAGATGTGATATCGAATAAAAAAGAAAAAAAAATCTCTTTATATATTCATTATTATCTAAAATTCTAAATATTCTATTATTGTATTTTATCATCCAACCATTGATAGAAAAGGTCCCAAATTTTATAGAATTGTTTATCCTCTTGTTCTCTTAATTTCAAATGTCAATCTACTCATCCCAGCACATTCCAATATTTTCTTAATAATTTCCTCCTGCGATGGTATTTTCTCATTTTTCCAGTTTTTAGCAAATACAATCCTAGCCGCTATTAATACATTTACAATCAGGTATTTCTGGTTTTTAATTTGCCGATCTGCTCCTTCAGATGTCCCCCTCCCGTCCCGCTTAGGGCAACTCGAAAACAAGCATGGGAGTGTTTTACGAGTTGACACCATCCATTGCCTCCCCCCTCCTCGGCCCCTGCACACCCCTGACAAACATCTCCTCCTTTCCCCAGGCTATGATTTCCGGAGATCTGGACATCCTGAAGGACTGGTGCTACGAAGCGGTGAGTCTCCACACGGGGAGGATATTTGGGGCATGTGTGCGCGCGTGCGCGGCAGGGGCTCCTGGGAAAAGGTGTGATGACCCAAAGGGGCGTGACACGAAAATAACCAAGTCACAAAAGTAGAATAAATTCCCTTTAATGCCTCCGACTTGGGGCCCAATGTCCGATTTTCCTCAGCTGGATATCAAACTTCCAAAAACAGTCTATGAAGGGGAGAAATGCAGTCCGAACCCAAAGTAAAGATAATTAGAAATTTTTTAAAAAAAACACAGCACAAACCACGCGGAAGTAATTAACACGGCAGGCCAGGATGATAAATTGCAGACTTCCACAAGAGAACGCAGCAACCACAGGTGGGAGGACCCAAAACTCAGATAAGCCTCGACAGAGATAATGTGTCCGCTACAGAATCATGATTGATTGTGGCCACGTAGCTGGAGAAAGTGATGTAAATTGAGTAGCTCTTAATAGACAAAATATAATTCTTTTGATAGGTCAAGGTTAAAGAGTGTGGCGCAGAAAGAATTGGAACTTACTTTGGGATTAGTTCGTGTGATGTGATGATGAGTAAAAAAAAGAGATGGGTTTGTAGGTTGGGACAGTATGGGAAGTCCGGGGAAACTTTTAGTTTCGGAATTCCGCAGAATGCGCCAGGCTCTGTTCTAATAAAAGTACTTTGAGATTATGGTTTGTCTTGGAGTTACTGACAGGAATGGATTTTATCTGGAACGCTGACATACTGCACGCTTTTGCTTCCAGCAAGGAGCCGTGTGCAAACGCCCCACTTATATCCTGTTCTTCCAGCTACAGCTAATGAAAGGGCTCAGGGCCTTTTCCTCTCCCGTAGGCCATGTTGCTCCCTTCTCCGTTCCTCCCTGCGTGCCCTAGGATGAAGAAGGGGTGGCCCTGGGTCTTCCTCTGAATTCTTCCGCAGCCACCGGAGCCACACTCCCGCTCCGTGTCAGCTGCTCAATCTCCCTCTCAGAATCAGATTCCAAGAAGGGCATGACGGGAAGAACTTTGTAGCTCCCCACCCCCCGAAAAAAGCCTGGCGGGACTTCTGGGGCCAAGAGACGGGGCGGGGGGGCCCTCTCTTAAACCGTTCCCTTCTCTTGCAGACCTACAGTCAGCTGGCCCATCCCATCCAGCAGGCCAGAGCGATGGGGCTCCAGTTCCACTCCAAGATCTTAGACGTGGACAATGTGGACGTGAGTAGCCCCCTTCCGACTACCGCTACGGAACTCTTGCGCACCCCGAACCATTAGTTTTGGACTTCCGGCGGGGGCCCCCGTCTTGCACCCAAAAGAGCTCCGGCGGAGGAGGAGAGGTTCCCAACTCCTGGCTATCCCTCGGGGTGGGGGGCTTCTCTTCCCACCGGCCAGGTCTTATCTCCCCCCCCTTTAAAGCAAGATGCACCAAATTAGGCCTTTCTTTGGGGGGGACGACACATTCCTACCTTTTTGATTACTTAAGGCAGGGGTCTCCAAACTTGGCCACTTTTAAAACTTGTGGACTTCAACTCCCAGAATTCCCCAGCTGCCTGGGGAATTCTGGGAGTTGAAGTCCACAAGTCTTAAAAGTGGCCAAGTTTGGGGACCCCTGCCTTAAGGCATGGATGGGCATCGTTCCCAAGAAAGCCCAGTGGGGGTGCTCCAGGTCGAATCCATATATTCAACCCATATATTCAATCCACCAATGGCTCATGTCATCTGCTGTCGCTGGGGGCTGTTGGGGAGGAGGTGGGGGGGGGTGATTTTACTATATTAATTTATTTGATTTTTACGAGTTGTATTGTTTTTAAATTGTGGTTTGACATGTTGCAAGCTGCCTTGAGTCGCCCTGGCGAATAGGCGGCAATACGAATCTAATGAATAAATAAATAAATATAATTTGGGATGAGTTTCTCTCTGTCTCTCTCCATCCATCCAACCATCCATCCATCCACTATGTATGTTTGTTTATCTCTCTGCCTCCCTAACTACCTACCCGTTCATCCATCCATCCAGTCTGTCTATCTGACAGTCATCTATCTATATCATCTATCTCATCTATCATCTGTCTATCGATTGATCTATCATCTATATCATCTGTCTGTCTGTCTATCTATCTATCTATCTATCTATCTTGTTTATCTGTCTGTCTGTCTGTCTATCTATCTGTCTATCTATCTATCTATCTATCTATCTATCTATCTATCTATCTATCTATCTATCTATCTATCTATCTTGTTTATCTGTCTGTCTGTCTATCTATCTATCTATCTATCTATCTATCATCTACCTACCTACCTACCTACCTACCTACCTACCTATCTTGTTTATCTGTCGGTCTATCTGTCTGTCTATCTATCTATCTATCTATCTATCTATCTATCTATCTATATCTAAATAACTATCTATATCTATCTGTCTATCATCTATCTATATTTATCTATCTATCTATCTATCTATCTATCTATCTATCTATCTATCTATCCATCCATCCATCCATCCATCCATCCATCCATCCATCCATCCATCCATCCAACCTTGTCTGTCATCTAATCTGTCTCCTATATCAGGGGTCTCCAACCTTGGCAACTTTAAGCCAAGTGGACTTCCACTCTCAGAATTCCACTCCAAAGTGGCTGGGGAATTCTGGAAGTCCACAAGGCTTAAAATTGCCAAGGTTGGAGACTTCTGTCCTACGTTACGTCATATCATGTCTGTCTCTCTGTCTCCATCCATCCGTCTATCCTTTTTCTTCTATATATCTATCTTCTCTCTCTCTCTGTCTTCCTCTCTTTCCCTCTCCCTCTCCCCCCCCTTGTAGATTTTCTTTTGAACACCCCCACCCCCCCAAAAAAAGTCCAGTCACCTCTTGAACAAACGCACACCTTTGGGACAACCAATGTCCTGGATGGCTGAGAACCTCCAGAGACGTTGAGCCACTTCGAAGCGTTTCGTAGCGTGTGCTGGGCCGGTCCCAGCAACCCTCTTCTGGACTAGCGTCTTGAAACGAGTCTTCTCTTTTCCAGCTGGCCATGGGGAAGATGATGGAACAGGGCCCCGTGCTGATCATCACCTTCCAGGCTCAGCTGGTGATGGTGATGAAGAACCAGAAGGGAGAGGTGGTGGAAGGAGATCCGGTAAGGCGCCCCCACCCTTCGCGATCTACCATTCGAATGGTGCCACATTCAACAACCTCGGTTGAGAAGGAAGAGAAAGAGTAGCCCACAGGCCCGGGGTGGGGGGTGGGGGTCAGAGGGGACATGGGCAGGGTGTGTGTGTGTGTGTGTGTGTGTGTGGCCAGGTTGACATCACTCATGTTGAGGGCACCTGTAGTAGACTGAGCGCTTTGCCAGCAAAAATGGGCTCCTCCCAAGCGCCATTTTCGGCTGCGACAGCCTCCTGCAAACCTCTGCCAGCGCAGCCCTCCCAAGCTCCGTTTTCGCTGACAGAGGCACCACGGGCCAGTCTGCTGTTTCCAAGGCGGCCTCGTGGGCTGGGTCTAAGGATGCCGCGAGGGCCGGTGTCACCTCATCAAACATTCCTAGGCCCGTTTTAGTAGTTGCCATTTAAAAAAAAGGGGGCGGGGGGGGAGGAAAGAAATCTGGAAGAGCAAGTGTAGCAGTTTGGAAGCGACAGTACATTCCAACTCTTCGCTTGAAAAGGTTGTAGCTAAACTACCAGAGCTTTTGCCCGGGAAATATTTAATTTGGAGAACCGGATTGATGATGTCCAGCCTGTGAACGTGCTCAGTTGGAGAATCTGATTTATGACACACCCAGAAAAAAAGCGGGGGGGGGGGAGAGTCACAGGGACTGTAAATGACGTAGGCCAGAATTGGCTTCATACAGGGCAGGGCCAAGATGTCGCCTCTAATGAATCCTTTCAAGTGTTTTGAAGTTTGGCTCGAGAATCAGGATTTCATTAGGGCGATTGCTGGAATCCTGACAGCTGGATCTAAGCGCCCTGCGGACCAGATCCAGCCGCAGCCCTTGGATTTGACTCCCTGCTGCCTTGGGCAATCCAAGGAGGCTGGATTGAATTTTGAATTTTCCTTTCCCCGCCTTGCCTCCCCACTCCTGGTCTCCTGTTCCCTCCCTTCCCTGGCTCCCCAGCGTTGGGCACCTGTCTCGGGGCCAGGAGGTGGGAAGGGTCTTCTAGAGCAGGGGTCCCCAACCACCGGGCCGCGGACCGGTACCGGTCCGTGGAACATTTCCTACTGGGCCGCCGGTTTGCTGGGCGCCGCCATCTTGTTTGACGAGAAAGTGCTTCCGGACGAGCTTTTCCGGTTGGAAAGCGGCGTTTGGGTCCTGAAGGAATCCTTGCGCCTTAGTTTCATCGAAGGGGGGGGCGGCTTCGAACGAAACGAAGGCGCGAGGATTCTTTCAGCACCCAAGGCAAGGCGAGCCGAGCGACCGTCCCGAAGCCGTCCCGAAGCGAAGCCCATCGACAAAGGTACAAAGGAGGAGTTGAAGGTGGCGGGGAGAAGCGGGGGATGGCTGGCTGGCCGGTCGCTCGGCTCGCCTTGCCTTGTCATGCGTGCTGATGCCAGTACCGGGCCGCGGATCATTTTGTGATGCCGGTACCGGGCCGTGGCACAAAAAAGGTTGGGGGCCACTGATCTAGAGACAGGGCGAAGCTCACGGTCTCCTTGTTGCTTCAGAAAACAAGAAAGTCCAGTTGCCACTTGGAAAAAAAAACCCACAACAAAAACAAACCACTTTGGGACAACCGTCACCCGGATGGCGGAGCATCTCCCTAGGACAACTTGTAGTTTTGTGTCTAGATGACCACGGGGGCTGCTGGGTCAGGAGTGCAATTTCAGTCGGTTGGGGAGATCGCCAGGCAGGGGTTTCTTTTTCCAGCCGGGGTTTGTCCTCTGCTGCCCCCCTTTTTTTAATCCCTGCGACATGCCGGCCTCCCTTTTCACAGATTACCAGCTTAACACAGTTGGGAGGGACCTCGGAGGTCATCTAGTCCAGTGGTCACACACCAGTGGGCTGGGGACCCCGGGTGGTCTGCGAGAAAATTTTGGGGTGTGTGCAGAGAAATGTTACCCTCCCCCCCCCAAAAAAGCAATGAATCCAGGCTGTGCGGGAACACAAGGCTTGCGTCGCTTGCATTGCAAACGACACGAGGTAGTGAGGGGAGGGGGGGAAGGGTGGAGGGGGGGACTTGCCCCACGCGCTTGGCCTGGCCACTGGGCTGCTTCTTTCTGCTTCTTTCTTCTGATGCTTTGGGCTGCACGCCAGGAAAGCAGCCGAAGTCTTCCTTTCTCTCCCCCAAACTCCGCCAGAAATGAGTCTTTGGGACCCTGCAAGGCCTCCTGCTCCAAGAGGCTCTGCCGGCAAAGACTCATTTCTGGAGGAGTTTGGGGGAGAGAAAGAAAGACTTCTGCAGCTTCTGCTGCTTTCCTTGCATGAAGCCAAAAGTCTCTCCCCTTGAGAACGGAGCTGGAGACGGTATCCTGCCATCCCAAATAAAGAACGATCGATCGGTAGGAAAACGGGGTGGGGGGATTTTCCTGCAGGCTTTTGGGGGGGGGGTGGATTTTCCCAGGGTCTCTGGTCCGCGGGATTTAAAACGATGAGTTTGGTGGTCCCCGAGGTCCAAAAGGTTGGCGACCCCTGTTCTACCCCCCCGACCCACAACCTCCGCCCTTCCTTTCTCTTTCCCCCCTCCAGGAGAAAGTCCTGCGGATGTTGTACGTCTGGGCCCTCTGCAGGGATCCTGAAGAGCTGAACCCCTACGCTGCCTGGCGCCTGCTGGACATTTCTGCTTCCAGCACTGAGCAGATCCTATGAGTCGGCCCGGGGGGGGGGTGAGGGGGAGCTCGACCGCGATCCTGCAGAGCGCCCCACCCCGCCTGTCCTGCGCAGAGTCCAGCACGAGGGACCCCAGCGGGGCTGGGACAGGGGTGCTGCTTCGGATGTAGATGCTGGGAGACCCTCCCCCCCGTACCCTCTTTTTCTGGTCTTCAGACTTGGAACTTGCTAGCATCCGGGCACGATGCGGGGCAGCGCTAACCCCCCCCCCCACTTGCCCTCACGGACGTCTGGGTCTCCCAGGACGGACACCGGCCTGTGCTTTGCCAAAGTTGTGCCTGTTCCGAAACTCGCTGCCCTTTCATCCTCGCGCCGAAGAGTCTTCCGGAAGGCTCCTTCCCTTGCAGCGGATTCCAGAGGCTGAGCCGGACACGGTGGAGGGGGGGTGGGGGGCTGCCAGGCGGGGCAGGGAGACGACCCCCCCCCACATACGCGGGAGAGGAAAATGGGGTGGAGACAGAGAGGGAGGGTCTTGAGGCGTGGAAGGCCGGCAGGAGGTGGTCCGTCTTCCTTCCAGGAGCTATTTCCTCACAAGGTTGGCAGGCTCAGGGTAGAATCGGGGGGTCTTTGGTACACCCTTTTTTTGTAGCCCTTGCCGGGCTTGGAATTGGCTTAGCATCCTTGACGGGGTGCTGGGCGGGGGGTGGGGGAAATGGCCTCCTCTCCATAAGAGTCTTCCCCTCCCCCTCTGTAAATTAAAAAAAAAAAAAATACGGCCCACCCTACATGTGTACATATCTGTTTTGACCCAGCTCCCCAAACACGACCAACCCTCTGAAGTTAAAAGATTCCTTTTTTAGGAGGGCCGGCAGCCCTGGCAAAAAAATTTCTGTCTCGCTAAGTCCATCCAGCCGGAAGACAAATAGTTGTCTGCCATCTCTATTCATCTCCACCCCTGCTTTTTATCCCCCAGAGTCAGGGTGGGGCTTCGCTAGCAGCCATGGCTCTTCCGTCCCAAGGACCGGCCCATAGATTTCCACTGCTCTCCTCTCCTTTTAT